TCCTCCTTCCTCTGTCTCACCTCGATGCCGAGGTAGTAGGAGAGTGCGTCGAGATCGCTCATTCGAAAACGAGCTGCCATCTCGCGCTTGAAGCCGTTGATATCCTTCGTGCGCGCACCGGTGACGATTAAATCATCCACATACACGCCGACGATGAGCTCATCCTTCCCCCGTCGCCGTGTGTAAAGCGCGTGCTTGATTGCGCACCGCTGAAACCCAAGCTCGCCCAGCGTGGCGTCAAGCTTGGCGTTCCATGCTCGTGGGGCCTGTCGCAGCCCGTAGAGCGCCTTGCGCAGTCGGAGCACCATGTGCTCCTCTCCCTTGCGGCGAAACCTGGAGGTTGCCTGACGAAAACCGTCTCCGCTAGCTCACCGTTGAGAAAGGCCGATTTAACGTCCAAGTGATGGACGCGCCAGTCCTTTGCTGCTGCCAAAGCTAGTAGCAAACAAACCGACTCCATGCGCGCTACTGGCGCAAAGACTTCCTCAAAGTCTATGCCCTCACGCTGAACAAAGCCTCGGGCGATAAAGCGCGCCTTGTGCTTGACAATGGCGCCGAACTCGTCCCTCTTGACCTTGTACACCCACTTCAAGCTGATCGGACGGCATCCTGGAGGTGGATCGACGAGCTGCCAAGTCTCATTTTCCTCGATCACTTTCATCTCCTCCAGCATCGCCCGTCGCCAGTTTCCATCGCGCTCGGCTAGCGCAAACGTGGGTGGTTTCTCAGCACTGACAAGCAGCAGCTCTGCGTCAATGAGCAACCGACCAGCCAGTCCTGAGGGTCCTGTGCCGTCGACGATGTTGTCCAGCCTGCGGAACCGCACCTCACCTTCGTGGAAGGCATCCACGAACTCAGTGATGTCACTTGGAGGTGAGGCGAATTCGATCGGCGTCGATTGAGTTCCCTGTTCCACCAGAGTGCTTGGCACAGCACCTGGAGTGCTCGGCACTCTGGTTGCAGTGCTCGGCACTACTTCTGGACAGCTCGTCATAACTCCTACAGTGTTCGGCCACACTGTAGGAGTGCCCAGCCTCAGTCTTGGAGTGGTCGGCACCACTGCAAGACGTCTTGGCTCCGCCATGGGAGTGTTCGGCACTCGTCCTGGAGTGGTCGCCACCGCTACAGAACCTCCCAGCACCACTCCTGGCGTGCTCGGCATCCCTCCAGGAGTGCTCGGCACTCCTCCCGAGAGTGCTCGGCATCCCTCCCGAAGTGCTCGGCACTGCCCCAAGAATGCTCGGCTCTATCGCCGGAGTGCTCCGCACCTCTTCCCCAGCGTCTCCACCACCGTGGATGACCAAGTGCTCGACGACGAAGGTGTTGGTGAAGCCGCTAGCTTCCCCCGTGCTCGGACTGCTCCAGTCCCAAGCCGCCTTCTCGTCGAACACGACGTCGCGCGAGACAAGCACCTTGTCTCTGCGTGGGTCGTAGAGCCGGTACACCTTGGTACCCTCCGCGTAGCCCAGGAACACCATGGGTGTGCTCTTGTCCTCTAGCTTGGTGAGGTTCGGCTTCGTCTTTCTGACGTGGCCGATGCAGCCGAATGTCCGAAGGAAGGACACGCTCGGCTTGTGCCCATACCAAGCTTCGAACGGCGTCTTGCCCGTCAGGGCCTTGGTCGGAGCGCGGTTGAGGATGAACACCGCCGTTGTCACCGTCTCCCCCTAGAACCTTGCCAGCATGCCTTTGGCCTTCATCATGGATGGGGCCATGCCGACCACCGTCTGGTTCCGTCGCTCCACCATGCCATTCTGTTGTAGCGAGTACGGCGCGGTGTGGTGTGGTGTTGCCCCACACCCTGATTCGCGCAGTACGCAGCGAACTCCACCGAAGTGAATTCGCCACCGCGATCAGTCCTCAGCACGCAGAGTTTCTTGCCGCTCTCAGCCTCCGCTCGCATCTTGAACTTCTTGATCGCCGTCACCACTTCGTCCTTGCTCGTCAGGAGTTTCAGCCACATGTAGCGACTACAATCATCCACGAGTAGGAAGAAGTACCGCCGACCACCATTTGTAGCAGGCGTGATCGGCCCGTAGAGGTCGCCGTGGATGAGCTCGAGAGCATCCTTCGTGCGATACTTGGCCGCCTTTGGGAATGGTAGCCTCCTCTGCTTCTCGGCCAGGCAGCTGTCACACAGCTCGCCTCCATGCTTGATGTGGGGTAGTCCTCGGACCATCTTCTCCAGCCGACCAAGCGCGTCGAAGCTGAGATGTCCGAACCGGGCATGCCACATCCACGGTTCCTCGGTGTGCCTTGCCGCCAGGCACACCGGCTGCTCTAACTTCAGGTCGAGCAGGTACAACCGGTTTAGGGACCTCTTCACCTTGGCGAGAAGTCGCTGCTCCCGGTCCCTAATCCTAAGGGCTTCGTCCTTGATTAGTACCTCGCTACCGCGCTCATCTAGCTGACCAATGCTGATGATGCTGGAACGCAGCTGCGGGATGTAATATACATCCGTTAGCGCGCGGTGCTCCCTGTTCTGGCACCTGAAGATGATGGTGCCGCGCCCTTGGATAGCCACCCTTGAGCCGTCACCAAACTTCACTGTACCGGTAACATCGTCGTCGAGCTCGGAGAAGGATTCCTTGGAGCCCGTCATGTGGTTGCTGGCACCAGAGTCCAGATACCACCGCTGCTCCTGGTCGGCGCCCACACGTCTGAGATGGACTTGGGCGCGTGGTTCGTCGAGGTTGACAGTCTTCAGGGCCTTGACAAGTCCTTCCACCATCGTCACCTCTTCCTTCTCCTCGGCCTCGACGTCGTGCAGTGCACGGAACGTCGCCATCAGGATAGTGGCCTCATCCTCATCATCAGCTTGCGCCAGATGAGTCTGAGCCTTCTTCTGCTACTTGTGATTTGGGCACTGGCCCATCTTCCCGCAACGCCGGCAGGCGTTGGGGTCGACCTGCTTCTTCTCCGAAGAAGCCTTGCCACGGCGCTTGCCATCGCCACTGCGGCTGGAGGAGACTGCCTTCCCGGAGTTCCTCCGAGCAGCCCACTCCTCTTCCGTCAGCAGGAGTTTCCCGCTGTCATTCGTTGCTGTCGCCTGCTCCAGGTGCTCGTCCACCGCCCGCAAACGGCCTGTCACATCCTCAATGGTGAGGGTGGACAAGTCCAGCATCGTCTCTATGGAGAGAGCGATCTGGATGTACTTTGCCGGCATGGAATAGAGGTACTTGGAGACCGCCTCCTCTTCGTCGATGGTGACGCCATGGTTCTTCAACTTATTGATGAGCGTCTGCAAGCGGAGGGAGAAGTCCTCCACCGTTTCACCATCCTTGAACTTGAGGTTGGCGTACTCCTGCTTCAGAAGCTGGGCCGTTGCCTTCTTTGCGTGGTCGGAACTGACGCGCATCGCTGCAATAGCCTCCCACGCCTCCTTAGCCAAGCTTTTCGCCCCCAACGGCTCCCTGTACTCCGCCGGTACAGCAGCGAGGATAGCCTCCAACGCTGACATATCATCTTCTTCATTGTCGATGCCCTTGTCAACAGCATTCCAGAGCTGTCGGGCTCTGAGCTTGACCTTCATGGTCATCGACCACTCTCCATAGTTGGTGCGAGTCAGCGTCGGCCAACTGGTCCCGCTGACCTCCCGCACCGTGTGAACAACGACCTCCGGTCGTGGCTGGGCAGCCACAGCAGTGCCACTGCTGTCGCCCATCTCCGAACCGCCCGTCATTGGCAGCGGTTAGTCTGACGACGGCGTTTGTACGGCTCTAATACCACTTGTTGGCCCACAGGATCACCGGCTCAGGTGAGTGAACCACTCACCAGTCTTGCCGAGCACCCGCTAGTGTTGCCGAGCACCCACTAGCCGTGCCGACCACGAACAAGCGTTGTCCGTCCCCACGCACTATGGCTAGAGCTTGAAGAAGAAGGGAGAACAAAGCATACACACAGTACAAGACACCAGCGTTGGCCGAAGTCCTGTCTAGGAGATGACAAATCTGAACTCTCTTTACTGAGTTGTCGTGGTAGTCTATTTATACAACTCTATCCATCTAGTCATAATACAGCGCACATGTTGTAACAGTAAGTAGATAACATACAGGGCGGGCCTGGTGCAAGCGGTAGAGTCTTACCGCCTGTGACCGGAAGGTCCCGGGTTCGAGTCGCGGTCTCCTCGCATTACACAGGCGAGGGTAAGGCTTGCCACTGACCCCCTTCCCCAGACCCCGCACAGAGCGAGAGCTCTCTGCACTGAGTACACCCTTTTTATTATAGTTCGACTTCAAATACAGACATCGACATATCATACATGAATACAAATTGGCTAGTTTGAGTTCAGATTTTCATTCAGATATCAACTTGAGATCAGCATGTTGAGATTTAAAATATAAACATGTAAAAGGTCTTGAAAGTTGAAACTATTATCAATAAATATTTCCTTAATTTCTTATCTTCACAGAAAAGGAAGGAGGCAAGCAGCCTCTGTCTCCGTGACGAGGTCAGCATGACTTGGGGATTTGGCAAGATTTTTTTCTTTTTCCTATGTCAATTAATTAATCAATTAGTCTAAAAAACATAAAAAATCAAGGGCTCAGATTTGTTTAAGGTATTACCTCCTAGCAAGTAAAGGATGTACCGTAGCATTGCCCAATCATATCGTGACAACAGAACGGAATTAAGTCAAATAATGCTTCTCTAATCAACATTTTGTCTTTGTGGCCTTTTCAGGGACGAATTCTTCCACGCCCTCACTATGGGGCACCTCCATATTATTGGACATGTCTCCACTTTTTGCTCCTAAGTCTTGGACTGTGTTGTTGTCTTTTTAAGTTCTCATCTCCAAGTTCAGTTGTAGCATCCAGACCATCTCTCTGTACACAGGATTACTGTCAACCGTTTTAGTGCTATTCTGTCAAGGTAGATTCGGACTTCTACTAAGCAAGATTTTATTACTTGTGGTTCAAGTTCATATATCTAAGTTCTTATGCATACTGTTATATGTTGCTTTTGTTGAGCAGGAAAGGGGTGTTACATGTGCTTGAATTCTCATGGCGGAGATGGTTAGCTCCGCAGTTATCCAGGAAACTGTTAGCCAGATCCTATCTGGGCTGGTTCAAAAATATGAGGAGAAAGAGGAATCAAATGTGAACAGAAACTTGGAGAGGCTACAGATGGCGCGCATCTGGCTGGAGGCTGCTCTCGATATATCTGATAAGTGGCAGGTCACTGATGCTTCCTTGTTGCGTTGGCATAAAAAGCTGAAGCGTGCTGCTCAAGAATGTGATGACACGCTGCACAAATGCAAGCAGAGAATTGTAGAGGGTGAACAGATGGAACAAGAGGTGAGGAAGTCCTCCTTTCCTACACGAGTAGCACATGCCACCAAGTCATTTATCTCTAGTGCCTTTAGCGGTAAGAATGAGCTGAGTGGATCCATTGTTCAAAGATTTGAGTGGTATGCAGATGGTGCTAGCGATTTCTTGAGATTCACGGAGCTTGGTGGCACTCCACGCCATATCATGCCCTTCAACCCTCTTATCAGAAACCTTTTTACAGGCAAGAACCTACAACATAAAATCAGTCTGGGAAATGAGTGCACCTTTTTTCTACTATGGATACCCTTCACTGTTACAGAGCATGGAATAGAAGCTAGCCTATTCTTTCTCTAGAAAGATGGCAATGCACCTGAGAATATTTTTTACTTTAGTGTCATGCTACAACTTTCAGAGAGTACAGATATAGTCGGAATTGCAGTTAACTGCTTGCGGTTGTTTACCCCTCTTTTCAAGTCTACAGTTGAAATTATTAGGAATAGACTTGTGCAGCTGCCTACACAAGACTTCAGATGGGCACCATATGTTGATTCACAGCAGAAAGAACATTGGGACAATCATCCCAGATTTTGCACTCAATGGTTTCACCCAGACCCATTATGTTGCAAGCAACTTGATCAGCATGAGCTTTGCTGCAGTAGCAAAACAGACATGTCAAAATTACCAGATATTTCCCTACAGCCAGTCAAAGAAGTGAATTTGTAGTGCTATGTCTCACTGCCCATCAGCAAAATTCCTCCACTAGGTACAAGACACCTGATAGCTGGACTCCTCTTTATGCCCCATGGCTCTTCAAAAGACCTGCTGCTTGCAGATAAAAGCTCTGCAATAGCAGTGACTGAAAGCAAGGGGCAGCAGTGCTTGCATTCAGACGTTACCTCGGAACAGCTGGAAAAAGTCATGCTGCAACTGGCAATATATCACTTCCAGCGGAATGCCGAAGCAACAGTCTACCAGATGCTTTGGAAGTATGAACATAATACTGCATATATTCAGGTTGAGAAGGCCAGCTTGAAGATGCAAAGCACAGGAAAATTGATTTGGGGTTCTGGGAAAGGAAAGATCTCACGTGGACAGGTTCAGACATATGTGATCCCTCACTTCGTCAACATGTGGGTTGCACAGGCACCCCTCTGGCTGCAAGGCTTGATTGGAAACTGGGTTCTCAATGAATCGCCTGAAATCGTAAATCATGGTGCAGTATGGATCCATAATAGGAGGGAGCAATAGAAGAATGGAAATGGAGTTTTCTTGCGCTACTCGTGTGTCCTGTATTGTTAACTCTATTATTTCTTCTTATTGAAAATATATGCAGCTCCCCTGCATATTCTCTAAAAGGAAATGGCATTTTCTGGGGAGTAAACTGAATCTGAGTATTTCTGACTGAGTAGAGGATCCGTTAATTTGGCTCGTTAGATCAAGGGAATAAGGGATCACAGAAGGAGCCCCCATGTTTGAGTTAGTTTAGGAGAGAACGGATCTTCTACTATAAATGTGGTCATGTAGGAGGAATCCTCCATTTGGTTTGATATCAGCCTCTGAAGTATCATTGCATTTGTAGTCTACCATATACAGATACATATTGTTCCCCATTTTTTGGTCCCCAATAATTAATTCCTCATCTGCAAGAAATTCTTTATAAAGGCTGATATATATGTCTCATCCACTAACATGTACCAACAACAGTGCAGCACTTTCAAGGTATGCATCTTACACGTGTAGAAGATGGAGACTTTTCTGACTTCTGAACACCCTATACACCACTGTCTAATGAAAAATCAAGTTGTAGTATGTCACTTTGCTCGCTGGTCGTTGACAGTTACAACACCACCTTCGATGTGATTTCTTATGCACACATAATTATGTGGCAGGAGATGGCACACATCAGGCTGGAGGCTGCTCGCGTGCTCTTGAGATGTCTAATAAGTGGCAGGTCACTGATGCGTCCTTGTTGCGATGCTGTAAAATGCTGAAGGGTGCTGCACAAGAATGCGATGACAGGCTGCACAAATGCGTGCAGAGAATCCTAGAAGTCAACTGATGGAATAGGAGGTGAGAAATTCCATTGCAGTCTGCTGTCAGAGATTTTCCGTTGCAGTGACTCTTCTGTCCCCGCCCTTGACTGCCAAACCCCTACCGATGAGTTGACTAGTACTCGTCTTTCCTCACTCTATCACCGTCCATATGCCAGCTGTATGGACAGCAAAAGCAAGGTGTGAACAAATGAATTCCCCCTTGATCACCATCTCTTGACCAGTAGTAGGAAGCTCGCAACAGGTAGCAATACTCCAGTAAGGTGCCAGCAAGGTATGAGATTTTCTCTGATACCCACATGTTTCAGTTGCACCAATAACAAATTGCTTCTCCTTATAGTGCTACTCTGTCTACTTCCTGTACAGAACAGGTGAACCCCTGAGAGGAGTCTGCATAAGTGATCCTCATGGCGAGGATGGTGGCTTCAGCCTTTGTTCAGGAGACCGTGAGAAGAGTCACCTCCTACCTATTCAGCAAGCTTGACGACAAGGTGGAGGCATCCAGAGGACATTATGCTGAGAGACTTGAGATGGCGCACACCGAACTGGAGCTCGCACTCGAGAGATCTGCAAGGATGCCCATCACAGATGTGTCCCTGCTACGGCGCAGGAAGCTGCTGGAACGTGCCTTCGAGGACTGCGAATATCTGCTACACAGGTGCAGCAAGCAGCAAGCAACAGACATTTCAGAGATGGAGCAACTGTCAACAAACTCCTTCACTAAACGGATTGCACAGGTGACTCAATCATCCATATCCTCCTATTTTGCTGGGTTTTGCAAAGACAGCACTGACTGCTCAGATGTTCGAAGATTTGAGTGGTTGGCAGAATGCGCCAACCGTTTTCTCAAAGATGTGGAGTCTGGATGCTCACCTCAGCGGTGCATGTTATCCAACCCTCTTGTCAGGAAACTTCTTCAGGGCAAAACTCTGCAGTATAACAAGAAGCAGGAAAGCATACTCCGTCGTCTTCACATATGGCCCATGTGTGTGGAAGGGCGTGGTGTGGAGGCAGCGCTTGAATTTCTCTACGAAGATTGCAAGATGCCGACGAGAAGTTTTGCTCTCGCACTGATGCTACGATTGTCAGAGAGCACGGACATTGTCGGGACTGCGATAACATGCTTGCAGTCATTCACATCTTCGATGAAGCATATGGCTGAAGCTATAATGGGAGAACTCACTCGACTTCCTCTGCAAGATATTTCTCATTCAACCACTTTTGCTCCATGTTTCAGCATGCAAGATTTGTGCCACAGGGACACCAAGTTTTGGCGGCAGGATGCATTATGTTGCAAACCAAACGGTTGCGCTGGATACAACACACCATCAGAACTGTCATGCAGATTTCCAGAGCAGGTTATACTAGTACATGTTGAATGCTATGTTTTGGCCTCTGAGTGCACCAACTTGCATAGCACATCAGCAGAAGGAGCTGGCAGAAATGCGGTGGGTGATTGGCCGCCTCTCAAGCTGGGAGTGGGCTTCGCGCCTCACTTCTGCAATGAATGCATGCATGGGAAGACTGGGGTTGAGGTCATTGAAGGGAAAGCAGAGCCGATAAGTGAGAGCTTGCACCAAATGGATGAGATGGTGCGATTAAAGGCGATTGACTGCTACATTCGCCAGCCTGATTTATCAGATTATAGAATGCGTTTGTATGCAGGACACGGTGTTGCGTACTTCATCGTGCGAAAACCAAGCCCTGGAACAGCAAGTGCACCCAAATACAATGGTAAGTCAAATATCCTGAGACTTGTGAAGAGAAGGCCATTCAAGCGAGAGTCATCAAAGAGGAACTAATGGTTAGCCGATGGAGTATATGCCATTGCTGTTCGGTTCAACCAAGAGCCCTAGCATTTTCCACTTTGATAAGGTCCTGATCATGAATGGCGACACAACTTGTACAAAAGTGCTGGATAAGTAGGGTGTTCTTTTCTATGTGGCGGTGAAACTGTGCCGAGCTTTTGGTCATGTAATATGTTGTCCAACAATATAATACTAGTTTATATTTCCCACTACAAACAAGCTGCATGTATATATGTTCTTGCGATTGTGCATATTTTGTTCCTTGTTTTGCATGGCCTTTTTTTAACGGCTTTGCATGACTTGACTGTGCACAATAAGATACACTGCTATGCCATTTATCTGTATGCAGCTATATGTTGTGAACTTTGGTGAAGAACTTTCAGTTGGCTGTCCACGTCCCTGTGGGTAGTAGTTACTGAACTATCTAAATATATTTGGGACCAAGAACATTTGAACTTGATGCATTTTGTATGGAAACTTAGGGTGAACCTCGTGACACGTTTTCACCTCTTTTAATTTCTATCCATGTCATGTCACCTGAATGGAGTTCATATGCGAAGTGACTGATGACGTCAACATGTTCATATCCTATTATTTGTGAATTTCATATCCACCATCGGGGTTACTTCTAAATTATAATGGATACCACCATCATCCAAGATGATAGGGGACTCCGTCTCTATGATAGGACAGCGAAATTGAACCCATACTTTTGTCCAAGGATATCTCAGCACATCAATACACTCTTCCCCAATTTCCATTTTTGCATTTGTACATTTGCATTCCACTGATATTAGGCCTATCCTAAAAACTACTTGGTAGTTTTCAGACTTGCCGTGTCATATAGATTCTACATATATATATAAACTATATTCTAAATAGATGGTTTCTTGAAAATAAATTCCTATGCATTCCCCTTTTATTCCAATTCATTAGGCTTAGGAGAAGTTAGTTACTTGCATGAGAAAATATTCTTCTCTGTTAACTCTAATGCCATATCACTGTTCTGTTTACATGGCATCTTAATTAATACTATCAAAACCAGTCTAAGCATCTCATTGGGAGTTGGTACTGCCATGAGACCCCCACAGCACCATATGTTACAATGAGATGGTCCAGTCCTTATTGTTTGGCCCCTATAACTTCTCTTTTATATTCTCCTAGCCTTGGCCTAGGCCAGAGCCACGTGCACGGACACCACTTGCTAAGAAGCTGTGGGGCAAGCTTTGCACTCCACATCGTTGTGGTGCCCCAATAGGATGCATGGCACTACTACCATCGAATCTATTACTCTTTCCATTCCAAATTATTAGACATGCTTTTTGTAAATACATATGGAGTAGCATTTACTATGCACTTAGATATACACTATGTCTAGATATACAGTAAAAGAAATAATGTATCTAGAAACTCAACACGTCTTATAATTTGGAACGGAGGGGGTACTGGATATGGTGAAAAATGATTTTAAGAGGCGGGGTGGCTGCCAGCCTCTATGTTGTTGTCGAAAATCTGATCTTCTACCATGGATTGACAAAGTTGCAGACAAGCTGCCAGGATGGCAAGCGGCCCTCATGAGCACAGCTGGACGTATCATTTGGGTACGTTTCGTCTTGTCAGCGATACCTATTTATGTGTTGATTGCTGTTAAGGCTCTGAAGTGGTTCATCAAGGCCGTGAACAAACTTCGGCATGCGTACTTATGGTCAGGTCGCAAGCAAGTAAATGGTGGCAATTGTCTGGTTTCGTGGGAAAAAGTGCAGCGGCCGCTTGAGTATGGTGGGCTGGGAATTCTCAACCTTGAATATATGAGCTGGGCGCTGCAAATAAGGTGGCTGTGGCTTGCAAAGACAGACAAGGAGAGACCTTGGTCAGGCCTAGAAGTGTCGGTCCACCAAAATGCAAAAGCTCTCTTTGCCATTGCTGTACATTCTCATGTTGGCAACGGAAATGACACATATTTTTGGACAGATAGGTGGCTGTTTGGGTGTTGCATTGAGCATCTTGCCCCAAATGTTTACACACTGGTACCTCAGAGGTTTCACAACCGTACAGTTGCTGCTGCACTGCATGATCAGCAGTGGCCTAGCGACTTACAGGGAGGACTCTCGATGATCGGTCTCTTTGAGTACTTCCAGCTTTGGGACATTATTCAGGATTTCATGCTCTCTCCGAACGAAGACTCTCATAGTTGGAGGTTTGAAAGTTCAGGCGTCTTCACTACAAAATCAGCGTACCGGGCCTTCTTCCATGGATCGATCAACTTTGAGCCTTGGCGCCAAATCTGGAAAACTTGGGCACCACCCAAGTACAAAGTTTTCTTGTGGCTGGCTGTATGGGATAGATGTTTGACTGCTGATCGTTTGGTGAAACGGAACTTGCCCCATCC